TCAGAGGGAGAGAAGCAGAGACGACGAAGAGTGTCTCTTTTTTCCGAGACTTTACTGTTCTGTTTATTCGGACAGAGTACAAACGACTGTCTACTAGGATACAGTTTAAAAGAGCCAGTTCTGTCCTAGGACTCCATGCTATAGCTACACCAATGAGGCCACGGGAAGCAGCATCAGGGTTTCCAGATACATGGATCGTGAATCGAGTAACCTCTTTATTTTCATATGGCGAGGTGTAATGAATGACACTACTGGGATCCTGTATGCGTGTTTCAGAGACGCAGCATACATCGATGGTGCGAGGTTCTATAGTTCTAACGATGAAGGCCTGTTGTCCTATTTTGCACAGTGTTCTGACGTTAAAAGCTACTGCATGTAGTTTAGAGCGTGGTTTTAGGACACCAAGAATAACGTTTTTCGTACTTAAATCGTTTGCACTATCGGTGTGAGGTGATAAAAGGACTTAAGAAGGGTTATTTGTGGAGATAAGAGAGTTATTAGTAGGCGTAGAAAGGATTCCAATGTAACCAACTTGGTCTCGTGTGTTGTTGCGAGTATGAGAGCTGATAGCACTTTCCAGCTGCCAACACCGTGGAAGGGTATTTCTTGAGGGACCTGAAAAGGAAGTTGGATTAGTGTTGGTCTTAACGACCTGAGGGCGTGACCGGAGTGCCCAAGAGACAACCGCCTTTTTGTAAGGGATTTTCGACCTGTTAGCTCCTTTCTTCAAAGGAATTTACCGCCGGAGACGGAAATCCATGGGATAAGGCAAGGTGTGCATTTTTAGTGTCGACCTTTTCTAACCCCATCCCTCCTTGTGAGAAGGCAGCAACGCTGCAGATGCTGGTTGTCTGAAGGAAACACCTTACTGCTATCACACCTCTGTACAGTCGGCAGTACGACTTCGCTTTCGAACCTCGAGATCGCTGCTTTTAGTCTTACCGCTCGTCAATCGACCTGTCTGGCATTGTAGGACCTTGAGGAACGATTGTTCCAGCCAGTATAGCTCGATTGTTCAACCACGATAGGCAAGCCCGACCACCACGTCAAGGTAGCAGCGACGGCCGGGCTTTCACCATAATATATCATGTCACCTAATTCCGTCGAACTGCGAATCCTGCAGACCGGTAAAGCAATCGTCATTCGAATCAAAATCCACACTTTAGGTTCCAAAAGAATTATATTCAGCCGCTTCTTTTACCCTGGTCAACTTCCAGCCCAACTAGTGAATTATCAATTTTAAAATGTGGCGTCATTTGAATAACGTTCATTTTCATATCTCAAACTTTTCTTCACATCTCACTATTGTCATCATTATTATTGTTGCACTTGGGAACCTTTTTCAGAAATTTATTCAGCATCCACCATTACTTACAAATTCTTGTCTAATTCGTATTACTATACATATTATGTGATTTTTGTTTTGTATTCACATTATTCTCTCGCTCACCACGTGTTGACCATATTCACTCTGATCATTTATCTCACAATTTCATTCCAATTATAAACTGATTTAAGTTAACACTTCATATCAGTCATTACAACATTGACGATTCGATTTGATTTTATATGACAAACAATCCTTAATTCACATGTTATGATTTTAAATGATGTACTCCGCCTTAAATCTGATCAATTTCATGGATTACTAATTTCGATATATTGTAGGGTCACTGAATATCGAACAAATCACTGACCCTTGTCAAGGTCAAGGATAGTCAACGCGCACAAACCAATCATACGCCATGGACTGGCCCATGCTGCACTGGTTATTCTTTCACTTCTGTACTTCCATAGTTGTACCTTAACTAATATATTCTTGTAATAACGTCCTTTGTGTTGTACAGTCTCCATAGCATCCATTATCCTTTGACTCGTCGATGGTTCAATCCACGTAAGGGCTGGTCGCGAGGTGTGACTTCAGCGTTAGTTGGTTCGTCACCATTCTCGTCTAACTCTAGTAGGCCCCCGATCATTTTGACATAGATCATCAACGTAGATGGACTACAATATTATTGTAGTGCACGATGAGAAGTTATTGAAAAATGCATCCTTCCTTCATATAATGGTATTTTAATGACAAAGCTGTTTAACAAAAATCGAGTTGGAGATTTTCAGTGTTCAAACAGTTAGAGCTAATTTGAATGCTCTCCCCCAGTAACCAACTGTAAAACGACTCCGAATTCCTGGATTCACTCACATTTTCTCATCTCACTCCTGAAATGCTGAACAAATACGTAATATAACAACTAGGGGCCTTGCTACGTCAAATATACATACTGACGAATATCACGTGAATGATGCATGGTAATTGTTGATTCCATCCATTCTATCATTTACCCGGGTTACACTGCTTTCGCTTCGTCACCAACGTCCATCTGTTAGCATTCACATTTTCGTTGGCCAATTTTTTGTTGATTGATAAATTTTACCAAGCTGTGTCTTTCTTGTCCATTCATCCATTGACTTACTTCTCAATTTTTACGCTGAAGCTGACCAGTCACTTAACCTCAAACGCGAAATCTGCTGGGTATAGTTACACTTCTGGTCAGGGACGCAACCGTTCGACTAAACTCAAGATACACCAGCTCTCTATGAATAATTCTATCAAACGGCTAAGACACATTCATTTTGTGCAAACGAAGATTTTGAACCGTGGATGCGAACAAACCATTTGGTTCAGCTTATGTCATCATTGATACCTCATGGATAATCAGTGTTTGACGACACGTATGTCCAAAGTATCTCGTGAAACAATACTGGGTCCGATGAAGCCAGAATTCTGAGATGTTGTGTGACGAAAATACATTCGAACAAAGGAATATAAGCTATCTAGTTGTTGAGTACGATAAGCAGACCGACATACTATAAATGTTCATACGTTATTGTTTATTCGAGCTGAAATGGTATTCAGAAAAACCAACAACCACAACAGGCAAGGCCGAAGGTCTACAAAACTATTCATTTCAACTACTTGTTTTGCAGGGCCAAAATATTGGGCATCGAATGGCCTTTAGGAAGTACTTGCTTATAACAGTGTTTCGAAAAGTAACGTAACTCATTCGGGACTTAGGACTGTCAAGTTGTTGTCTCAGTTGTTAGATTGTTCTGGCTTCACGTTTGTGTTGTTTCTAAATTTTACCGATTCTCTTATTCACACTAAACAAGAACACAAACTTCTTCTAGACTAAATGTAAACTTGTCGAAGCACGTGGTCTGCTAGTTAAGCCTGATATAGGTAAATCCACTGGACCCGATGAACTGCATCCTAGGTTACTAAAGGAATTAGCTAACTTTGTTGCGAACCCTTTAAGTGTATGTCTTAATCTATCCGTAACCCAGGGTCGTCTACCAAAAGACTGGAAGAACGCCATGGTAAGTCCAGTCTTCAAAACAGGTACAAAACATAAGCCTGAGAATTACCGACCAAACTTATTAGTCGCTCGTGAAAGCTGGTGCGCTCTTAAAGACCAAAAGTTACCTATAGACGTAGCTTACATCGATTTCAGCAAAGCCTTCGACAAAGTTCCGCATAACCGGCTGTAATATAAGCTAAGGATTGTAGGCAATCTATTGATTTGAATAAAAGACTTCCTAGTTTGGCGTCAACAAAGAGTAAGGGTGAACTCCAAGTTGTCTAGCTGGGAAACTGTGCTTAGTGGAGTCCCCCAGTGTACAGTTTTGGGGCCAGTGTTATTCCTCCTGTACGTAAATGACCTCCCTCGTCTACTATCGTCATCGGTCTTACTCTATGCTGATGATGTCAAGATATGGAGAGCGATACAAAGCAAGGGCGATAGCTTAGAAATTCAAAATGACCTGGAGAGATTATCAGAATGGTCCCAAACCTGGCAATTGCCGATAAACACTTCCAAGTGTATTGTGATGCATATTGGCCACCAGGGTACAGATACATACACGATGAATAACACTGAGTTACCTATTGTCCAGGCACACAATGACTTAGGCGTCATCGTTAGTCAAGACGTAAAGATTAATGCACACTGCCGTGCAATAGACGCCAAAGGTTTTAGGACTTTATGGTCCATACGCAGGGCTTTTAAGCATCTTGACGCTAAAACGTTTCTGTCTTTGTATACATCGTTGCCAGGACTAACACAAGCCATCAAGCCTCCCGTCCTTTCCAGACTGAAATTGACTGAGTACTTCATTTGCGTAACTAGTTTTTATGCTCATGTTAGTAATTCCAGCTGTTGTTTTCTTAGTCTCGAGCGTTTAGTGTTTGTATGGTATTCAGACGGTTATATAAGTAATATAGGTGGCTTTCGTTTAACGATACATGGTAATGCCATGATTTTCCAGTATACGGTAAAGTGATATAGGATTACTACCAAAACTTCAATAAAACGTGGACGATTAGACAATTTCACCTTCTCAATATTTGTCTTTTGAACTCGCTCCAACGTATTCGTTTCATATTTAGCATATAATCTGGCTTTTTTTTAACGACTTGCTTCGATGTAAGTCAGTTATGAGTAGAATGTGTATTTAATTGGGTGAAGAATAGGTTTACATTGTAACTAACATAGGTGGAAACCTTGAGAAGTGTATGTTCCACAGTTGGCTCTTGTATTGAGGTCATGGTTCATGAAGACATCTGGACTCTTATAATTATTATTATTATAACCTATGATATAGTCGTTCCATTGAGTGGTGCGAATCATCATTAACAATATGTTACGCAACTTTCTTCACTGTATTTACTTTTAATGATAGTCCGTTCGCTAAAGGCCGTCCATATCACCATATGAAATTTAATATTGTACTGAAGAACGAAGGCAAGGTAAATTTAGATACTTTCCTATTGACTGACTTGTAATACTCGTAGGTAGATAGTTGTAGGAGTAGTATATTTTTAAGCAACCTCACTCTCAGTTTGAAGTTCTTTAATAGACGATTGCTACTTTGTTTCTTTGACGTTTCTCACTTCGAATACTTCATTGTAGTCATTGTTCTGACATCCTTCTACTTCTTACAAGATGGAGGCATTAAAATCGCTTACGAGCTTCACCGACAGGTTTTACGAACAAATATTAAATGAAAGTCATGGTGAGTTCATTCTGCTACGATAGACCTACGAATGTGTTTAGGTCAGTGGGAAAATACTTTTCTCTCCCCTTTCAATATCTATACTGCCCTCGGAATGGTTCTTTCTGGCAGCGAAAACAATACGAAAGCCGAGATGATAAGAGCGATGCAATTGTCTGATTGTTTAGAACACGATCAAGTTCATTGTGAAATTGCTCAACTTCTGAATGATTGTTCGAAACCTAGTAAAGGTGTTGAGATAATCCTTGCTAATAGATTGTTCGTTGCACAAAATGTGAGTATCCAAGAGCAGTTCAAAGCTAATCTGAAGACAAACTACAATGCTCCAACAGAACATGTAAGTTCTTGCTATTCGTTACCAATCTTGCGTGAAGGTGGCATTTGAGACTGACATAGAAGGTTCTCGAAACCGGATAAACCAGTGGGTCAGTGAACAAACTAAAGGACAAATTCAAGAACTCATTTCACCCGGTTCATTAACAAACGACACTTCTGCTGTAGTAACAGCTACTACATACTTCAAAGGTAAAAGAATGTATGAATCTAACTCTCGATAATTATAAATTTCATTCTAACCGCGTACACCTTATATTTATCTGCCTCTTATCAGTCGAATAATCTTAACCGATGTTATTATTTAGGTATGTGGGATTTGTCTTTCCCTGAGGATAACTCACACACTAGCGAGTTTTATGAACTAAACGGATCAAAAATGAGTGTGGAGTTGATGCATAACGAATCGTATTTCAATATGGCCAGTTTACCCCACTTAAAGTCACGAGCTGTTAAAATACCATTTAAAAACCCGAAGTGAGTATCAGTATTTAAACGAGTGTATTGTATTTTACTGGTTTATGATGTACCTTTTAGAAAACAAATGTAATAGTTTTCAGTAGTAATCTAAATAACAAACACCTATAGAAAATCACTTATAATTGCAGTGTTTTGAGTTCTCCACAGTATTATCAATTTATTCAACACTTTAAATTGATTTATCATAGGGTATAGGATTCTGTGATGATTATTTACTGAGTACAGATGTGAACTTGGATTATAGCTTAAAGGTGCGTTGATTTTATCGTCTCTTCATTTAGGGAAAGTTCGGAATAAGAGACTGTAAATTTATTATGCACTGACAATTGATTGATCAATGAGTATTGACCAGTTCTCTCAAGAATACAGGTACACCTTGCTGACGGTTGTCAAATAGCATAAAACCTGGATTCAACTCTTACTGTTGACTACTTGTAACCACCGCTCTACTTATTATAATGTGTGTTATTATGCTGCCATACTTGTATATCAGTATCCTAAACACTAATCAAGACATTTTATTCATATCTGTTCCACCAATAAAGTGTTTTAACGTCGCTATTGGTAGAGTCGGAGACCATTTTGACTCTCAAGTACAAATTATCTTACACATTTCAGCGATTACTTGAGCTGTAAGGTCAAGAAGAAGTGTGACTCGATTGTAATGTAAATTCTTAAACGTACACATTTTATGCAAGGATTATAGATAGCATTGTGTTACAAAATGTATAGTGAGGTATATTTGACTCTGCAATACGGTAAATGAATACTTAATACAAAGAGCACTAGACACAACATCAAATGATGTTAACTTAATCAAAGTTGATTCAATTTATGAAAAAAATCAACTATCGGATCCACTTTGAAAACTGTAAGTTAAGATGGATGTCCTAGTATGAATACACCCTGTTTTTATTGAAAATATTAATGTATCTCTTTTTGTCTAGTTATTCCTTGATATTACTTTGGTATCCCTTCTTTTTCAAACACTTCGTTATCCAGGTTTACGTTATTAGTTGTTCTTCCAGATGTAAATAACGGATTGCCAGATTTGTTGGATTCGATGTATAAACATGGTGGTATTTCTTCAATACTATCCAGTAGTTTTCAAAATACGAAATTGCAGTTGTATTTGCCTAAATTTAAATTGAGAGAAGGCCGTGCCTTAAAACTGAAAGATCATCTACGGAAATTGGGAATAAACGATGCATTCTGTCCTTTATCAGCTGACTTTTCAAATGTTTCTAACTCATATCGAATGTTTATATCAGATGTGATGCATAAAGCTATTTTTGAGGTAAGCGAATGAGATACATGTAAAAGAACACATTTTTAGTATATCCTTTTATCTCAGATAATTATGTGCCAGTTTTGAGGAGATACTATTTCAAATTTTTAATATTGGCTATTTGTAAAAGTAGTTGGATATGTAATATACAACTAGGTTTCATTATTTGTTTTTGAAGTATCTCAATGTTGTGTGATGTGTTGTGTTGTCAGTTCTGGCTATTAGTGAACATACACCAAAATGGTTGCAGAAACAAATATGATCAAATGACTCGATAAGAGTAGAGGATAAACATCGATCATCCTCTATAATCGAAACAGATGGATCTAATTGCTCGGCTTTTGTTGTGTTGTATGACAGTGTGAAAGGGCGTATACTAAGGTTTATTGAAGCCTTAGTCATAGGAAAATTGAAACCCCCTTTTGTTTATTCAAAAACAGTTTGTTCTCTCTTCGAACCTACCTAGCTTATTATCCAGAGTAATTAGGTTTCAAAATGTTTTCATATTATTATTATTATTATTATTATTATTATTGTTATTATTATTATTATTATCCTTGTGTACTCTTACCAACCCCAATTCCAGTCTTGTTGACCGTTTTTAATATGTATAAATGTTCTTAACAAGTATATTATATGTGTGATTAGATTGTTCAAAATGTATTGCGCTAATATCTCATCACATAGTTCTGATAATCTTTGTCTTCTTATTACATTCTCGAAATTAATCAATGGGACTAATTGCTTTAAAGATTCAGATTTCACTTGTTGTTCCGTAAAACAGTAGTTAACGTCAATATTTCGTTCACTGTGTTAATATATAGTACTGCACATCTTACAGAGTCAGTAGTTGTCTGCTTGAAGGCATATTTCAACATCAGCTAGGACTGATCTTGCCTTACATCCGTGAAGTAGTATGTTCACTAATTTACTTCATATCGGTGTTAACATAGGAATGATAAAAAACTTAGTCTAGATTGGTGTATACTACTTTCATCATAGAAATGAAACTACTGAGCCATGCTTGTAAGTGTAGACTACCTGGTTGGGATGCGCGAGATGATAGCAACGGATGGTTAGAGACCTTGAATGACATGGCTCAAAATCGTTTGTAATGGGTTGTCTCGACCTAATTTTAGACATTTTAGAGTATTTAGCACGACCTGGAAATTTATAATGCATGGATCTGATTCATTACTAAACGGCTTTGAAGGGCGAACTCTATCTTTTCACTGACCTATGATCTGATAGGTTGGAAATCTGAGAGAGAAAGTGATTGAGCTAGAACTTATCCTATTTATCTCTCATTAGACTAACTCAAAATATGTACATAAGTGAATGACCAGCAAGATCACAATGCACGTGAGATACAAATATATTCAACCAGTGGCATTGAATTATGGAAATAAAATACAAGGTGACTTAAATTACGGTTATTTTGTTATAAAAAGAATAATACAATAGTTTTTACATCAAACGAAATCTTATAATTCATAGAATAACTAAGTGATATTTAGTATTGCTTTTTCGAACCTTCCCATCGATGTGTTAGGACTGCAATTGGTCAGTCTCTAATTGACATATGTGCATACTGTGTGTATTGCCTCGATATAGCCTTAATTCACAAGCATGGTAAGCAGAGATGGATAGTGGCTAGCAGTAGATGTAGGTACATATGGCTGACGAGTCCCAAATAGGACGAATCGCGTATCCTGGATTCCACTGCTAGCCACTATCCATCTTTGCTTACGATAACTAAGTGGATTTCTAATTATGCGAGGCAATGTGTAAATTTGTTTGTTTTTGCTTCTCTTTATTCTTCTGTTCATAAAATATAGGTAGATGAGAAAGGTGCAGTGGCGGCTGCAGCTACAGCAACACAAATGATTAAATGCACAGCTTTGATATTTCACAAACCTGTACCGGAATTTCGTGTTAATCATCCATTCTTCATTTCAATAATTTGGAATGATTCTTTACCAATATTTCTTGGACATGTTACATCACCATTGAATCATTGAGATGAAAACCATTCACTGAAGTTTATAAGAAATACTTTCTCTAGAATTAAAATATTTTAATTCTTTTTACTTTTACTTTATCAAATTGCCTACTTATAATTTCGTTATTCATATATAAGTGGATTCCTTTACTTACTTAATTACGCCTGTTACTCCCAATGGAGCATAGGCCACCGACCAGCATTCTCCAACCTACTCTGTCCTGGGCCTTCTTTTCTAATTTTATCCAGTTTTTATTCATTCACTCCACCTGTAGCTCCTCCGGGGGCTACTGCCGGTCTCCAAGCACGGGTAAAGGAGGAGGGTTGGGCATGGGGTTAGCGACCTCATCCCATAAAAAACCAACTCGCTAAAAAAACGCTAACCAGAAAAAAAATATTCATATATAAAACAAACTAGTAATAATTTTAATGAGAGAGTTCATTTCATTTTTACTTCTGTGATCATGTATTTTTTGCTAAAGTTTTTTGTTTTACTTTTTAATAAATTTCTATCTTTTTCTATGATCAGACTTTTATGTTCACATGACTACTAATCAGTTGGTAACTAAGAAGAGGTTGTTCCGTATTTTTAAGATAACGCATATATTGTTGGGCAATATAAAGGCCCGAAGTAGAAGTAGTGTGTGTGTGTGGCTTTGCATGTGATGAAAATATAAATCAATATGCAGGTTTACTTGCATGTAATCACGTTTTGATAATTTTCTATCATCAAACTTTTATGTTCAGATGACCACTGATCAGTAAGTAACTAAGAAGACTTTATTTATCAGATTAGAAAGGATCATAGAACAGCAACAGTAGATACACAAGTACCGTTCCACATGCTGGTGGAGAAAAGCCCGAAAGAAGGCCGCAACCAACAACTAGAAAAACTTAAGAGTGAAAGCACACAGCCGATAAGAGTGATGAACAGAAAAAGGAGAACAACAACAATGTTTCAAGAAGATCCAAGAAGAAATTCATACGTCACAGACTTCAAAGGGGGGAGGTTTAGGGACGGCTCATTGGTAAACTCTAGAAAGCCTTCCATCCAATCACTACTAGGGGAATATTCTAGGATGTCGACATGTAGCTTCCCCATTGGATGGATAAGAATGACCCCTATTATGTGCCTATTGGTTGACCGAAATGATGATCTACATCCAGTCAATAACTATAAATACATGAGATTTCTGTACTACATTTTGACACTGTTTTGGGGAATAAAGTTCCTACTTACTAGTCTTTTGTCTTCTCTTTGCGACGTTGGAGGTTCTATCGTTCAAGTAGTCTAGTAGTACGCGGCATAGTAAGACCCAAAGCTCTAGATAAAACAACTTTGTTCTGTTGTCAATATCTGTATCTTTATAATAACTCATATATTGTTGGGCAATATAAAGGTCAGACGTATGGAATTATGTCAAAGCCTGTTAAATTGACTAGATGTTCAAAAGGCAAGGTACCAGTGGCAATTTTGAAACCAAGCCACTGAAATAAGATTGTGCAGATTGATAATTTTGGACTATTACGTGAAACCGATTGGAAATTTTGTTGTACTTTATGATACATCATTGGACATAGTGATGTGAAGACGTTTCTCAAGAAAGACTAGAAGCCCAGACTGTAAGGAAAACGGTTTTTTGAAAGCTGAGTTTGTTTGGTTTGCTTGAGCTCAATTATATTACGATAGAGGTTCTAATTTTAGAAGTGTGCTTTCTAAAGAACTATATCAAATTTGAAGAATCGACAAAACATGAATAACTACCTATCCTCCAGCAGGCATTTACTGCGGATAGGAAAATGCAACAAACGTTCAGTTGAGTTGTTAATTTGAAAGCTCATCAAGATTCCTCACTAACATTGGTCAGAGTTGTGATGATATGAGAGGATGTACGGAGGTACTATATGATGCTTCGAACACAATTGTGCAGTGTTTATTGTTCCGAAACATGGAGTGATTTCGTGTTCCTGCCGAACTATTAGTTTTGTTTTCCTATAGTATTATTGCTTCAGTCTGTTTAGATAGTTGCTTCTTTCTAAAAACAAAAGAAAATCTCTCCTCATTTAACCATTGTTTTCCGTGATCCCTGACAACGCTTAGTGGAGATGCGAGTAGTGTAATATTAGTAACGGTATGGTAGAAAGAACTTTCTGTTTTAAAAATTATCTACTAACTAATGGGATCAATACGTTTAACTGGGCGACTGCAGTGAGTTGTAATTTCATTTGTCGATCGACTTATATACTTACCATTAGGTGACCTAATACAATTGCTATTTGAGACGTTTAACCTACTTGCACAACACAGGCATGACAAAATCAACTCAGATTATCTACTGCTACGCAATGTAGATGGTTTTCATTATTAAATGTAGGTGAACTCTTTGTGCTATCTGAGTCCCTGGATCGCGTTTTCTTTTGTTCCCTTCCAGATTTTCCAACACAAACTGCTTCTCATACTCCTCCTTCACTTTACAATATTTTACAAGTCCTAATTCAGTAAGCAACTAGAGATGTTTTTATATTTCTTGAGATCTTCCATTTTTAGTAGCATCTACACAAATGAGTTTGCGTGTGTTCATTACTAAATAAGTTTATGTTTTGTTCAGAACAAACAAGTTAACCTAACTATTCTACGAATATCTGAAGAGTCTCTTATGATCAATGAAAAGTTATTGTGAAGTTCCAGAATAATAGAAAAGCTGCAGACTGATTGTAACTTTTGAGGGAAGTTCATTGATTTCTATGAAATGAGTTCTTTAGGGTCAAAATTAAGTGCTTAATTTAGCGCAGTTAACAAAGCATTTCACCTTAACTTACACAATTCTTCATACTTTTTCTGTTAACATTAGAGCTATTACTTCTTTGTATGAGACCGAAGTTAAATGCATAGTCTTGTGTTACGTCATCTACCAGTTTAACACAGAATACGATATACAACTACGGCACTCGAACGTATAGAACCACCACAGTAGCAAATCAGAAGACAAAAGAGGTAGGAGAAGCGGATGTTGGTAAGAATCAAAGATGTACAGAAAAACATGTGTATTGATAGTTATTAGCGTTGACAATAACATAATCGACTTCATTGTCCCAAAGTATTCTTGAAAGTTAATTTTCAGATTCTCTTTAATTAATCTTCATTTATTTTGCAACAGTTAACACTCATTTTGATCTATTCAAGTTGTTCTTATCTATTTGATCATATTCATGGTGTTGATAGGTTAGCTCATGATTAAAGACTTGTTGCCTTATTGTATCATCTACGTGAGAAGAGTATGGTTGTAAATCTAAGTTAACGCTAACGGTTTCGGACTGGATGTGAAGCTATCAGCCTAACTTAAAATGCACTATCTCCAAAAAGTCTTACGGAACTACATTCACTTATGGAAACTCTTCAATATTATATTTCAGACCTGAACATTTAATTCATGAGAATGGGGTGAGGAGAAAGAGTGTTTATGTAGTACACTGAAGGTTCGTCAAAGTGATACTGCTCTCCGAACTCACTCTCCTAGTGTATATTCTGTATTTATTACTGATGCTTTATCTCTGGGTGATAGTGGTGTTTTAGGGCAGGAAGAAAAACCAGCAAACTGTGTTTAACTCAAACCTACTGTTGCTTAACTATGTCATCCACAAACTCTAGCTTTTTGTTGTTCTATTTAAACGGCTTCACAAATATATAAGTTTCCGTATGTCTATCATCAGTTGTTTTCTAAAACTATGAAATATTTTATATAGTTGAGATCATGAGTCAATTCAAGCTAGACCACCATGGAAAACCTGGAAGCACTGGATTTCTCGAGACGGGATCGTGGATACGCACTGTTGAGGAGTCCCACAATAGAACGAAACGGCAGTCCAGTGCTTCCAGGTTTTCCATAATGGTCTAGCTTCAATTGATTCATGATATCAACTAAATAAAATTATTAAAATCTCCACAAAACCTCTTTCTGATTATGAAATATTTTGACAAAAATAACTGCGGCGGCGAACAGTTTTGATATTAAGAATTAAACATGTAAATATCTTAGTCCAGCAATATGTTAATCTTTGCTTCAGTTACTTAATGGTAACGCCTTCCATGGTGAATCGAGGACACACTGGTTGTAATCTCACAGAATACATCAATTTCCCAAAGCATGATGCTGATTTGTGCAAATTAGCATCGAGGTAGCGTCACTGAGGGTTTACCACCGTCTATCCATTACCACCTAACGTATCATTTAGAACACATCCCTTCACAGTATCGATTACTGTTCCGATTTGGTTCTTACAAATAGATAAATGACATAGAAATAGATGAACAGACAGTTTTATAGTTCAATCCATCGAGAAATCTTTTGATTTTTCGATATAATAAAAGAGAAATTAGGATTTGTTCTTCTAATCCTCTTCTATATTAAGGCTAGATTTGCTTAGTTACGGAAGATAAATTTTATTCCTACATTTGACAATCTTCCGCGTTTTGTAAGGACCAATAAATGATGACTGATAACTTTGAAAGCCTTACATTTAATATACTTCGTCGGTAAACACTTTCATTATGTGATTCGATGAAATATAACCCAATACACCCTTCAAATGGAACACTATAGTGACCTGCTTTTCTCGACGAGAACGCGATTGGTATAATGGAAATAATAATTATTATTATGACCAATTGTATCAGCGATTGTTTTATCGTACTCGTTGTTGTTTAAATGTATCAAAGTCACTTTTCGTTTGGTCGTCCGCCTTGTTCGCTCGAACGTTCTTACGCTCTGCTCTTATTACCTGTACTCGTTGGCACGTCTCAGTATTCTTTCAATACCACGAGATCGCCTATAAATATACTCTATCTGGACCAGTCACAGTCTTCTGGTTTGCGATTTATCAAAAGGGACGAAGTCGAAAAAAAGATGACTTAATTCTCTCAATCAACTTAAAGCAATCCTTTATGAGTACTACATGATTCCAAATGACTTGTACCGTTACAGTTTTGAGAGAAAATATTAAAAACACTCTTTAAAAAAT